TCTTTCACGTTAAGTCCCCTTACCCCTTTCTTGCTGTTAACTTTCTCTGTTTTATCACTGAAAATGTGGTTTCCACATCTTACTTTGCAGCTCCAACGCTTTCAGGAACGTATTTCCAACTTGCTGCTGCATCTGATGTTTGTAAAGGGAATACTACATCTGGCCTCTTGACAGTTGAGAGCTGCCAAGAGACAGAACCATTCATCCGAACTTTAGTTCATGGGAAGATAGTGATATGCACTTACACTTTTGATTTTGAATCAGAGACAGCAAGCATAGCCACTGTTGCTGATACAATACAAAAAGTTGGGGCTGCTGGCTTTGTACTGACAATGGATCCCGATATTGGTTCTGAACAGATTAAGGGAGCCACAATGACCTTGTCGGTACCTGGTCTAATCTTAAACAACATGGAGGCCTCTACGGTATCTATCTCATATTCATAATAATTGGTAAGACTGTCAACTTTGTATTAATTCTGGTGCTCTTTGTTGTCTGGTGCAGGCTCTGCGCGAATATTATAACTCCAACACATTAAGAAGTAGAAGTGGAAGGGCTATTAGTTTCAGAGCTACAGCAAGAATTTTAGACGGGAGACAAGTTAGTTATACCAAGCTGGATCCAGTTGTGGCATCGTATTCATCTAGAGGTCCTGATGTGAACAATGCATTCTTAGACACTGCCGATGTCCTTAAACCAAACATCATGGCTCCAGGTTCCTCGATATGGGCTTCCTGGAGCCCTACTAGTGAAGGAGATCGATACATCAAAGGTATAAATATACAAATGCTCATTTGACACACTTGGAAAATGCTACTCAAGTTTTTTTTTTAATTTATTATATAGAGGGTAGGGAAAGGGGATATGGGGAGGGGATTACAAAGTTGGGAATTGAACCCTCATCAACAAGTTGAAAGTTCGTGTACCCAACCATCTGAGCTACTAAGATTCACCTGGTACTCAAGAATTATTTGTCATATGGTACCTTTTTCAAATATCAATTATTTCTACTTTCAAGAATGGTAATATGAAACCACATCTTTTTACCAGGACAAAATTTTGCACTACTATCTGGAACAAGCATGGCTACACCACACATTGCTGGAATCGCTGCTCTAATTAAACAGAAGCACCCGGGCTGGACACCTGCAGCCATTACATCCGCAATGATGACAACTGCAGATGTAACTGGGCACTCAAATGCCCCTATTTTAGCTCAGCAAATCAACCAGCTAACTCCTGCTACTCCGTTTGATTTTGGAGCTGGACTTGTCAACCCATCTCGAGCCATTGACCCTGGTCTTGTTTTCAAGGCAGGGTTTAAACACTACATACTGTTTTTATGTTCAGTTCCAGGAGTCGATGATATGTCTGTAAGACGAGCAGTTGGAGTTGGATGCCCGAACAAGAAAAAAGCATGGTGCTCGGATTTAAACACGCCGAGTGTGACAATATCAAATTTGGTAGGCTCAAGAAATGTGATCAGGAGGGTGACTAACGTAGGTGGTGTAGATGAAAAGTACCAGGTGATCGTGAGAGAGCCTCTGGGCGTGAGTGTTTCTGTAACACCACAAGTTTTTAAGATAATGGCCAATGCTTCAAGACATATTACAATTGTCCTAAATGCAACTCAGACAACCAATGTTTACTCATTTGGAGAAATCGTGTTCGAAGGTAACCAAAACCATAGAGTTCGAGTGCCTTTGGCGGTGTTTGTAAGCAGCACTTTACATTCATGATGCTCTTGTATATGTTTTCAATGAATAAACTACTCCACACTAGCCTACATTGTAATCAGACTAAAATTGTGATTGTGTTGCAGTTTACCTAAATAAGGGAAAATCGTTCAGGTAACTTCTTCTAAGCTTGGGAGCTTGAAGTATATCCCACCCCCTCCAATATATAGGAGATAGAAAAAATAAAATGAAATGAAGAAGGGACATGAAAGTAATTAAGATTTGATAGGAATTATCACTCTTCAGTTTGTTAATGGATGGACCTTTGAACACCTTGATTCTTGGACTTAGTTGATGAGTCTGTTCATCGACGACCCTTTCGTAGTGAAGCAAAAAACTTGGAAAATAGTCCAGGCTTTCTTTGTACCTGAAAGAAAGTGAGTGCTTTTGTAAAGCAGAGATTTCTGAAAAGCTAGAATACTGAATAGTATATATAACTTGTGAGTGAGTGACTTACCTGAAAAGTTTTTACCATAGCTTTTATTTTATTGGTGTTAGAAGCCATATTCTTCTTCTTCTTGGATTTCTTATTCTGAGGCATGAATGTTCTGAGGAACCTTGGCATAACAAATTTCCAGCTCCCCATACAAGTTGGTAGACTTACATATCTTGGCTTGTTTTTCACTGCAACAATCTGGAAAAATGTGTTAATAGATGGTTACAAATACTTCTAGTGCATTTTCAATCCTGAATATATGAGCTGTGTACAATGATATTCTTCTTTATCCTTCAAACATCTATCATATTTAGTAAAATGCATATGTTAGTAAGATTATAACCTAAAGATTATAACCTGAGAATTCTGTCTTTGGATTGGCTGTGGAACCAAAGGTGTTGATGGCTGTGATCGTGCCGTAGCTCGAAGATTTCTTGAGTAGTCAAGAAGCTGAGCTTTTCTATTGTATCCTCCACCATTAGCAACCTGTCTAATGTGAAGATGTTGATGATGATATTTGTTATTTGATGAACTGCTCCTCTTTCTCCTAGGCCCCTCTACAAGAACAGAAACATATACTGTCCTTTCTCTCAAGTATGTAACCTAAACCATCAACAAAAAGGAAACAACTTAGCATTATTTTTTGCAATAAAATTCAAAGAAGACTAAGTATGATCACAGCACTAACCATTCTTGTTGGCATTTTTCCAATTTATTCTTTCAATGAAGTGCCGAGGGTCTATTGGAAACAACCTCTCTACCTTCGCAAGGTAGGGGTAAGGTGTGTGTACGCACTATCCTCCTCAGACCCCATGGTGTGGGATGATATTGGATATGTTGTTGTTGTATTCTTTCAATGGGGTTCTTCTTTTTCCTTCTTTTTTGTTGGTGGTGGTTTGGGGGGTTGGGAGGGTGGGGTGGGGGTGGGGCGGTGGTTATTGAAGAAAGAGTGAAAAAAGTATATATGTGAAGAAATTGGAGATGAAGAAGTGGTGATCTACAAGAAATAGAAAATGTTGGTAGATAGTTTATATAAAATGTGGAATGCAGGCCTAAAGGAAGGAAGATAACCAAGTCTTAATTCATTGTTAAAATCGTAACCGAATATATTATAATAAGGAAGGTCCTTCCAAATAAGAAATCTAAATTATGATTAAGATAGATAATTTTAAATGTAAACAAAGAATTCTACTTTGAAAAGGAAATACTTTGTTATTGCTTTATGTTTACTTTTCTTTCTCCTTTTGTCTTTATTATTTAGGTAACGATAAAGTAGAAAATGTTGTGTATGGTTAGATAATAGGGACATTTAAATCATTAAACTTATTGAATCAACATAGGTGGATTTTTTGATGTGCTAGTATTACCATCCTATAGCAACCAATTTTCTTCTTTTTTCCTCTTATGTTGTTGACAAGCTTAGTTAAGGTGCAAATATTAAATTTAATGAGAAAAAGGAAGGTCTTAATTAATGAAATTCTTGAGTTAAAAGTTTATCCAGCAATAATTAAAATCTAATTATGAGTAACCATCTACAATGAACATGAACGGATAACTTCAAAAAAGGAGGATAATTAATCTATTGTAACCGATCAAACTAAACGTATAAAAATTCTTTGCACTATCGGATGTAAATAAAAATTCTTTTAATATTACTGGACTATACATGCTTCAAAAAAATAATGCAAGATTTAGATAAGGTAAGTTTCCTTTTCCTTCTTGCAATTAGTGTCCTTAGTGTTGTGCCCAGATTTTATTAATTTTTTTTATAAAAAAGAAGGTGTATTTGAGTTGCCTATAATTGTTGTCCACCTGTGACAATCTTTGGAGCATCAGTTGTACCATCTGATAATTACACCCCAACAATTGTTGAATCAATGATCTTGTAGTATGTGGAAGACACGTGGTGTTCGAGACAGCTTGAGTGCAATATTACTATTTCACCGGATACCTGCTACCTTCTATTTACAGATATCAAGCAACTCTGTGCACCATGACTTAGACATAAGCGAAGAAATCACCTATCATCTTTTGTCGATTTCTTAGCTCTTTCTTAAGGTGGTTACATAAATAAAGGAATTGAAGTTAAACTAATAAGCAAGCAAAGTCTTCTTCCACCCAATTGTTGGCCTAAAACAACTCAATGATACTCTTAAATATGGTGTGATATTGTCCATTTTGGACCAAGCCCGCACCGTTAAGATCGCTACACCTTATACGTAAACTCTCAATCTTTTCCGCAGCCACTTTGTTTGCACACCTATCACCAATAATATCAGTTTCTTCTTTTTCATGGTAATTCACCATCACAGGTATTCAAAAACTACAGGTGAATGACCAATTTTGGACAATGACAACATCAAAAGTATATCACAAACAAGAAAAAGTTCTTATTGATCAAAGCATCACCAATACATAAACTTAGAAGTCAATCAATCTAACAAGAACCAACAGCAAGAGGTTGTCACAAAACTCAACAATTAAAAGAATCATTAACAACGAGAAGCTGACACTTCTAAGCTTTGCCATAGAAGAGCCAATGATACTCTTAACATGGTGTCATATTGTCCGCATTGGGCAAACCTTGCACGGTTTCCCCCAAAGGCCTCACGGCATTAAGAGATCCAACAGATAACCAATTCTCAAGCAATTGCTGCTTCTTTTTTTGTTTTTCTTAGCTTAATTCAAGGACACCTGGGATTCCATTGCAGACTTACCTTTGCAATATGAAGTTATCTGTTCCAAGCCTGAGTAATACCTCAAACACTGATTGAAGAACAGATCTACAATATGCAAACAAAGCTCGAGGTTGAAGCATGACTATGGAATCTGATGAAATAGAACTATTATAGATCAGCTAAAAATTTGTTTACAAGACAAGAAAAAATAAATCATTGCCAGAAAACAAAATAAGAAAGGAAAGAAGATACATTAAGAACAAAAACAAAATGGTGAATACAATTCTACGCTCTCTTTTGACTAGCATCGTGAGATCTCCTGATTGCAGTCATCCAACTAAATACATGAAGATCAAAGATTATGTGAGAACTATGTTCAAGAGTCCTTTGAACTGCGTGAGTTCTCATCTTTCCAAGATGCTTGCCACTGCTTGTCATAAAAAGTAGACTCTTCAATCAACTTTTTGACTGTTTCTATATCCTCATTCTTGCGGATCAGAAGCACACCAGCCACAGCTATAAACAATAGTGTTTTGCAAAAGAAGTTGCCCATTTGATCGACAAGGCCTACACCAGTCAAGCTATCCACAAAATAGGCCATAAAGAAACCAACCATTGCAGCACGACCTGCATAAGAATTGTGTATGCTATTAGTTTATCAGTTCAGCAAAGATATATTTAGAGCTTTGTATTTGAGAACTGGAAACAACTGCCAGAAATAGGATACGAGCAAACCATTGAGAAGTTCAGCTTCAGGGAGATGGAATCTCTTCATCCATGCCCACCAAGGAATAATGGAGGTGTCAAAAAGCACAGGTTCTTCATTACTTGACGACTCTGGATTATCTTCCAACCATTTCCTTCTCCGAACCTCTGCAAATGAATAGCCATTCAATTGTTAGTAAATCAAGCGATGTCATATGAATGCCCCAAAAAGGCATCTCTTGAAAAGGATATGTAGTGATGTTTTCTACCCTTAATACGTTATAGCTTTACTATTAAGAGTGACAACCACATAGTAGCTGGTTTAGTGCATCAACTTTCAACAAATACCCCCTTGTCATATACATTTAACAAAAATTCAAGATGATGCATCAAACAAGAATCAAAGCATCCTTTCCCCCCCAACAAAGTTATAAAATTAGTACTTTATCAAAAAGAAAGCATATCAAATCGACAAACTTTGGTCATGCAAGAAGGCTGAATGACACCACATCTACTCCATAAGTCATAGAAAGTTCCATTTCTAGGTTAACCCCCTCTTTTCATTGTTCATCAGCTCCTGCTTAAGGACTAAAGACAAAAGTTTTTTTTTTTTTTGGTTCCCCATCCGGTGTCGGTACCCGCATTGAGGCCGACTAAATCCGGATTCGCGGCGGGAAGTCCCACATTGGGGGTAAAGCGCTCCCTAGGAAAGGCGACCCCATCGAACCCAGACCTCTGGTTAAGGATGAAGCAGTACTTAGGACTCCACCACAACCCTTGTTGGTCTGAAGACAAAAGTTACTGGAACCACTTCTTAACCATGAACTTTTAATTCTTTGTGTAATCCAGATATACTAAACAAACTCTTCATGCTATTCAACTAAGGAAAAACAAGTGTAGCTAGTATAAGTATCATCCGAAACAGCATTCACTGTAGCCAGACTGAAGTAAAATTTTGGCAATCATAAGTTAAATAAATTAAATAAATTAAATAAACTAAAAAAGAAGTTGCATGTCGAAAGAACAATAATCAAATTAATGGAGAAAAGGAGCAACATGCAAAGCAGAGAGGTAAAGACTCACCAGCATCAATAACAGAATCCCAATGGGTCTCTCCATCTTTCTTAAACTGATTCAAATCCCAAGTCCCACTAACCCATCTAGGATCTTGAAATTTTTTTACAGTATCCGGTGCCGGAGCTCCGGTGGATACAACCGGCGCTGACCCATTAGTGTCCAAAGAAGCCTCATTTGACTCCTCAGCTTTCACAGCACTATCCTGAGCTTTTTCTTCAGGTATTTCTGGCTCAACAGTGACAGCAGAAGTAGCAACTACACCACTTGACCCATTATCAAGAGCTCTCGGAGAAACCAAGAAAGAGAGATGGGGTTTCTTTAAAGTTAGAAAAGGATAAGGTTTGTGGGTTGAGTGATGTTTTGAAGGAGAGAGAGTTGGGAAATGTAGCGGAGGAGCTGAGAATAAGGCCATTGACATTATCGTAGCTGGTTGAAGAGGTAATGGCAGAGAAAAAGAAGAGCTTTTAGGACATTGGTATACTGATCTTTCAAACAATCCTTAGCCGCAGAAATGGGGGAGGGGCTTTTGGATTCGTTTGCTTTGCTTAACTTTTAAAATAAAATACATTTCTTAATAGAAAATACACACATTTATATCTATATCTATGTTATATTAAAAACACAAAGGTCCTTAGCGAAATGTTATTTTTTTTTATCCTTTTAAAATATAGTTCACATTAGACAAAATAGTCATTTAATTATTCTCCTAATATTTAGCATTTAAAGTCAACTAAAACTTTACTTATAAAAATTTTCCTTATTTAAACAACAACACAAAATAATTTCTAATATTTAGGACATCAAAATCAATTAAAGTTATCGTATACAATTCAAATAATTCGTTTATATACTTTTTCCCTTATTCTACGTACATAGAAATTATGCCAAGCAAGAAAAAACCAAAAATAATTATTTATTGCCTTTTTTGTGGGATATTGCTTTTCTTTGTTTAGGTAGGAAGTTGTCTTTCTTTGTTTAAGTTTGCGATCCTTTTACCAAAACTGCCTTAGGCTACAAATCTTTTGGTAGTAGCCTTTTATTTTCGTTATGTATCTTTCTGTTCTTAACAACTTTTATTTTCATCTTAATTATTATAGGTATCATACAATTGGCTATCGGAAGAGGCTCTTCAAATTTCGTGGGTTCATAGAAGAATTCAACTATTGAATATTCCTCTTACGAATTTAGCAACTATTGATTAGCAATTGCCTATCATAAACTCTTCACAATGCCGATGTCTTTGGAGGTAAGTTTGCTTATTTCGTGTGTTTTTGATAGACAATTGTAAATTAAAAAGTTGTTAATTGTGATTTTTATTTACAATATCTAATATACAATTAAAATGACTCATTTACAAATTTTGTGTAAGTTTTGGAGCATTGCATTCCGTAATAAAAAAATTAGTTAGATATTCTAACTATATCAATTCAAGATTAATTGTTACCTTATATTTTATAATTTATTAATAATTACTAACTGTTATGCCAGTTTAAGGTGCTCATATTTTGTAAGAAAAAATAATCTTGTTTAACTCTTTATGATCGTATTATACCTATTACGAGATCTAAAATTATTTTACTTCAGAGTAGAGCAATTGGCGTCCTTGCATCTCGCCTTTTTGATAGTTTCATCGGTGTAGGTAAATATTTTTTCTTATCCATAAAAAATCATTATTATAGAATCAACATGGTACTTCACATTTTTATCATAAATATTTTAAGGAATATTAATTTTACTAAACGGTAAAATTTCATTGCGCATGGATATAAATTTATTATGTTTTAAAAGTTATCTTTGTTGAAGTTCATCTACGAGTTTTTTTCTAATCTTTGAGCTCAAAAATTGAAACTTTTTTAAGTACCAGCTTACTTCAATTATAGGCCAATTTAACTATTTAACCTTTTTTTAATATTTATTCTATTCATACATATTAGTCGTTGCTTGCCTAATGGGCATAAAACTTGTAGTTTACAAAAAAAAATTGACAAGTTAAATAATATGTAAATAAATCAATGTTGTTATAAATGGAATTCTACCTATGGTGAATGTCCATATCTAGAGAGATTCTAGGGTTTATTATTTGGTAGCTAAGTCACCCTTTCCCTATAAATAGAAGGTTCTATTCCACTATAAGTCATCCCAAAATCAATAAGAATTTTCTCCCTCTACTTTTCTCTACAATACTCTTCTTCTTCTTTTATTGTTTCATAACACGTTATCAGCACATGACTCTAACCAATTGAGTAGAAGCTTTGGGACTGAGCATAATGATTGTCAATTATCCATGAACTTCCTGCATGATTAAATTCTGAATTTAAGGTAAGTATTTTACCGTATTTTTCTCTTTTATTCCATAATTTGATTTTAAATACAAGCAAAGACAATAAATTTTGATTATAACTCTAATAGAGTTAGTAAGAAATTATAACCACTCGAAGTGGTAAAATTCTATGTCTTACCATGATCAAATTACGGGCACAAAAAGTGGAAACCCGTCTCATTGAATTTGCTCAATTCTCATTCCGTTAAGAGAATGTGATAGCAATATGTGATAGTCTGAAAGAAGACAAAATTATTACCGTGAAGGTATCAATGGATGTGGACGTGGCAATAGACGAAATTATAATCGACATCATTGTGGTAATGAGAACAAAAAGGATTCTTAAAATTCTCCTTCACTTTGTGAAATTAATGTTTGTCATCGATTTGACATGCGATTTGGTAAAGCACATATACATGATTATTGCACTTTCATGATGTGAATGTGACAACATGTGATTTATGAATACATATTCATTCTTGAAAGAATATACACACTCACCTCTAGAATGAGGTTTGAGATGATATAAGAAAATAATGTCCTTATTATGGCATGAATGGTTATTGGTCCTGAAGTACCATATGATAAGTGTGTGAGCACGTGATTTTTGCCTCACACGAATCACTCCCAAAAATTCAAATAAAACAATTTTTCCTTTTATGTGCAATTTTGTGAATTTTCGTGATATTTTCAGCTATTGTTTGCATTTGTGTGTGCATGTTTGTTTGTTTAAATTAATGAGAAAAATACAAAATATATTGCAATTACATGTAGGAATTAATTTTACAATTTTGAGTAAGAATTACTTATTTTATAAAATGAAAGAAAAACACAAAAATAATAATAATGCACTTTGCTTTTTAGTGTTTAATTGTGTGATTGGTACTTAATTATTGTTTAGACCTAATTAGTATTTTTTTTTCTCAATTTGGCTTTATAATATAATTTAGGATTTTAGGTTTTAATTTTGGAAAATAATTTAGGAAGAGAATAAAAGGGAAAAGAATTAAATAAGAGGAAATCCCATTTGGGCCAAATTCATGTGATAATTCGGAAGGCCCAAATAAAACCATCCCAAAATCAGCCCAATCCCACGCCCAACCCAGTCCACCCTTCATAGAGCCAAAACGACGTCGTGTGGAGGTTTTTGATCTGAGCCGTTGAGTTAATCTAATTGAACGGTCAGGAGCTTTCACCCATAACCCAGCCTCGACTCGTTTGCATCAGAGACCGATCCGGTCTCGAAGGTGATGGAACGACGTCGTTCCAATAAGTTAAATGATCCAAGCTGTTGATCTCGTTTGATCCAATGGCATGGATTCGATCCCCATACCAATATATAAACTTAAAACGAACCCAGCCCCCCTCAGCCCCCCTCCTCCCCCTACCGTCTCTCCCATCTTAGAGACCATAGGAAATCACCACCGCCCTCCGCCGTAAACCGCCGACCGAAAATTGCCTCCGCCGGCGTCCGGCGTCCAAACACCTCCAAATTGACATCGTGTGTTCACCATAACCTCCCCATCTCCGATCCACTATCAGTTTCCCTCGACTCCTAGCCTAACCTGTCGAATATTCAAAAAACCGAGCGGTTCCTCCGCCGTCTCCGGCGGACAACTCCCAAACCACCCCACCTTAACACCACAGAACCACCTCAACTTCCTCTTCCCAAATATCCAAACCCCTTCCTTCGAATCACAGCCAAATCCGTCGAATATCGATTTGAATCGATGAACCCTAGCGCCGCCACAAGAAACCCCGGTGGCGGCGCCACCTCCCCTTGATCCCAAAATCACACCCTTGAACCACTAGTACCCTCTCTTACCAAATCCTTACTCAGCTTTCCTCAAATATCCCTCTATCTTCTCGGATGTTAGATCAGAGATTTGACCCTAAGTCCTAACTTGGCCCGAATAGAGAGGTAATTAAAGTTCCAAGCCAAATTTGGTATTACCCGTGTGTTCTTGATAAGAACACACGATTAATATCAAACTTGGCTGGAAATTTAGAATAATCGAAGATTTCTTCAAGTTTTTTTTTTAACTGCACGAGGTGGATTCAACGTATTCTTCTTCTGTTCTTAGTTTTGTTCTCTTTTTTTTTATTAATTAATATCTTTTCTACTCCTCCTCTGTATTTCTTTTTCAGAATTGTTGTATGAGTCTTTGTCCAAATTAGGGTATTTAATTCTATTAGCTATTTTAATGTAGGTTAATAAGTTAATTGGTATAGATTTTGTCTGTCAAACTCTTTCAATAATTGTGATAATCCTGCTTTAGCTAATAGTTTGAAGTTAGTTTGAATTTCGTTATTCTAGTTCACTAGCTTAGCTTAAAGACAGTTATATAATTAAGTTTTGGTTTGAAACCATTCAAATTGGTTTTCTCTTCTGTTCTGTTATGGGTCGATTGGTTAGCTTAAATATAGGTTTTGAGAATCCTGATTAAATTTTGAGTAAATGAACTAAATTGGACTTGAATTGGTCATTTGGACCCATTAATTTGAGTCAATTGAACCCTAGGTTTTGCCCGTCCCATTTGAGGTCCAGAGAGGGGTCAATCCAGTGGTTTAAAGGCCCCTGTTTGATTGGCCTTGGGTCAATTTGACCCAGTTTTTGATCCTGCAATGTAATTCAAGGGGTAGTTTAGGGGGAAATTTGGAGTTGGAGATTGGGAGGTTAGTTGAATATAGGGGGGCTGCTAATAATTTAAGGGGTAATCAACAGAGGTTAGGGGTTCAACTTAGGGGCTGCTAACTTGGGTAGGGGGTAATTGCTGTATTAGTTAATAAGCACTAATTGAGTGGATAATTCAGTGCGAAATTAAACTAAAAGATAAGTGTTAGTGGGAAAAACACTCAGGGATTGTCCATTAAAAGGGTTGTAAATCAGACATTAAAGAGATAGTTTTAACACCCTGAAATACTGAAAAGAAGAGTCTGAAATTTGGAGAGTTTAAGAGATCCTATAGAGTCTAAACAAAGAGCTAAAAACAGAATTCAAGAACAAATGCATAGAGATATTTGAGAGCCAAGTACATTGAAAATACAGAGAGTCTGAGAGAAAGAACAAGATAGAATTAAGAGTTTTAGGAAGAGAATAGAGAGTTTTTAGTATTCTGGTTTGAGAGAGAGTGTGTCTGAAAATTCAGAGAATTGAGAGGAAATAGATATAGAGAAAAGAGTTTAAGTGAGAACTGAAAGGGGAACAAATACCTAAAGAT